AGTTTACATGCAACACATATGTATATAATATTTGTTTTTCGCTAATTGTTTTATACATAAATAAAGCCGTTAGTTTTCTCTTTTGAATTATTTTACATTTGTCATTTCGGGACATTTAATAGCTGGCTATGCGGTATGGGTTTTGCTCATGGATGATAGCCGTATGGTGACCTATATAGTTGCTTACTTCTACGTCATTTGGTCTCTGGTGGAGAGTCGTTTTATTGGCCCATCGTCCTATTTTATATTAGTTTGTGATCATGTCAGAGTATGAGGAATTACTAGTGGTATACCAATGGCATTTGATATGCAATTGTATATATATGCATGTATTTCTATTTGCATCCATCTGATGAGTTAAGCCTTTTTCAATTAATTTTTACAGTTTGTTCTTATGTTGTACATCACTGTCCCAAGTTAGTGGGAGGGTTGGCGCCTTCAAACGAGTTTAACCCTGCCACATTCTGTATTTGCCTGTCCCAAGTCAGAAGCCTGTAATTCAGTGGTTGTCGTTTGTTGCTGTGTAACATATTTGTTTTTTGTTTATTATTTTGTACATATATTAGGCCGTTAGTTTTCTCGTTTCAATTGTTTGTTTTACATTTGTCATTTCGGGGCCGTTTATAACTGACTATGCGGTGTGGGCTTTGCTCATTGTTGAAGGACGTACGGTGACATATAGTTCTCTTGTGGAGGGTTGTCTCATTTGCAATCATACCACATCTTCTTATTTTTGTATTAGCATTTCCATGGAGATTCATTTGGCCCCGGCCTCTCATTAATGATCTATTGACTTTAAAACTTTTGCTAAGTTTACATATATTAGTTTGTGATTAGGTCAGTTTAAGGAGAACCATTAGGGATAAAGGTCAACGGTATTTGGTATGCAGATGTATTAGCATTGACACATCTCAATCCCATGGAGATTATTTAGCTCCTCCCCCGCAGTCATGGTCTATTGATTTTGAATATTTTGCATAGTTTACATGTAAAAGTTTGTGATTATATCAGTTCAAGATGAACCACTAATGTTCAGTCACTGATATTTGGTATGCATTGTTTAAGCCTTTGCAAGTCTCATTGCCATGTAGATTATATGGTCCGCCCATCATCATGGTTTATTGACTTTAAAACTTTTGCATTGCTTACAATTTTAATCAAAGTTTTTGTTAAGTTTAAATTAAGGGGAACCACTTATGATAAGTCTATGGGATTTGTTGTGCGGCTTTCAAATATTCGGCTTTGAGCGTTCCCGATGAAGGTAAATCCAAAAAATCGCTTCAGGCGCATGAAATTATTTAACGTGAGGGTACCCTAATTGCACCTATTTTGACAGCTTTTTCACCTACGTTTATTTATGATCCAGACTAAAGTTTCCATTTTGTGTTTATTTTGTAGATGTAGCTTTATTTACTTTATAGTTACACCAATTTAATTTTGAATCCATATTGAATCATAGAAAAATGGGTTTGAACCAACCTCCAAACGACCCATGAGTCAGTAATGAGGAATACCAAAATTGCATCCATGCTTAAATTCACACCCTTAAAAATCGAATAACAGATGTTTTGTTTTATTTCTTTAAAATATTTAGAACAGTTTGACATTAGTCCATGCTGACTATTCATTTTTAAAGAAATGGATGCTTGTAACATATTTTATTTGCCCATTTTTAAAAGATGACGTTCCGTAGATTTTACTTTTTCCAGTCAATACTTTATCTGTTGATATATGCTGTGAACGTTTTGTGTATATTTAAATATATATTTACCTATGTTGAAAGACGTGTATTATGTCAACTCATAAAAATACAAATTGTTTAGTCTCAAAGAAAACTTGTAAGATTCCCGCTGCTATTTTTGCTGAATATGTGCAATTTGGGTACTCGGTGCAATTTGGGTACTGTGACATTAGTAACGTGTTGTTTTCATATTTTTAATAAACATTGATATTTTTCATTCCCATGGAGGTTATTTGGCCCTGCACCTTCAGTCACGGTTCATTGACTGTGAATGTTTTGCATAGTTTACATGTTTACATATTGTCATTTTAATTTCAACATATGCATTATACTATCAAAATTACTAAAAGCGAAACATATCTCTGTTTCAACAGTTTATAATTCAAAATTAAATCAGCTTCTGTGCAAAACCTTTAAAAGAATGTAAACTTTAAAAGTTTTACACTATAATGCATTGGTGGTAAATACTTTCGCATGATCACGTATAGCAAACTCGAAATCGCACAGAGATAGATTTCTTGCAATAATAATAGTTGCACTAAAATTACTAATACGGTACTATAGCTAGTAAATGTAACCTTATAATACCTGTTTTAGCAAAAGTATTCAGCTCTTAAAGAAGGACACTTAAACAATTCTAAAATGATATTACTATATATAAGTATACGGTTTGCTACTGACACACTACGGATCCATAGAGGGTTAGTAAAATCCATAGGGGGTGAGGACAAAGGCCGAATCACCTATGGATTTTACTTACCCTCTATGGATCCGTAAGGGGTCAGAAGTGAACTGTATAACGAATTTATCGCACATGGGACTTTTCCTTCCAAGTTTTGTATAAAATAAATAATGAAATACAATAACTTATATAGATGACGTCACCATTAATAGAAAACGTGACGTCATGAACCCCCTATGAAATCTACTGACCCCATATATTCATAGGTCACACCGCGTGACGGCGTTAACCACTCATAACGTCACTAATTTACCCGAGATGCGATAAAAATATGTAGAAAACTCTGCTGTTTTAATTGACATTTCATGATAAGATAAGATAAGATATTTTATTGGTTTAAAATTCAAAATTATAGGATTGATACCAAATTTGACAATAAACATTGGCTATATATAGAGAATATTATATGGATTTTTCAATATCACATCCGTATCAACCCGAGACATATAGATTCTACCACTGCATCGAGTGCGATACGATATTTATCCACTCGAGACAGTTGAATTTTCAAATTTAAAACGCGAGGCTCGCCGAGCGTTTTAAATATTTAAAATTTAACTGTCGAGAGTGGATAAATATCGTATTACACGAGATTTGGTGGTGGAATCTGTTTCTCTAATGATTTTCAAACAATACGCAGGCAAATTTATTCCTTTTTTTCGAATGATCTGCAAAAAGATATGTTCTTTCTATGTGACGTCATCAAACATGGTCGCCTTTTTTCATGCCGTCACAATAGGAGATTCAGAGGAAAGGAAGAAAATTCGACGTCATAATCGGATTTTAACCAATGAAAAACTGAGATCAAACAAACCACACGTTGATTACATTTTTTTTATACAATGGGTGCAGAAAGGGATAAATTGACGAAGAATTAGAGAAACCAATATAATCCCAAGAGCTCTGCTCAAGGGACTATATTAGTTGAGGGTTGATACGGTGTGTGATATTGAAAAAGCCATATCATATAGACTTTATTATAAATCTCAAGTAGGTGTTTTTTCATGTGACGTGACGTCATACAGATTAGGGATTTGATAATTTAAAAAGCCTTTGCAAAGGTGACTGATATCGATGACGTAACGTCATACATATTAAGGGTGTGATAAAGCCTTTCCAGCCGTGACTGATATCGATATTATCACTGATGGCTGATACAGCACGATTGCCGTTGATCGTATTACACATACAATTTACATGTTTTTACTACTAAGTATATAATAAATGATTATGTAGATGCATGGTTATTGTGTTTTCTAACGTTGGCATTTTTTGGCATGCTTAGGGCGTCGAATCTGGTCAGCAGAAGCTCTGCATCTTTTAAGTCCGTGGACAATTGATCAGGAAGAATGTTATTGTTAGTGATAAGGGTATCCTTCTTTTATTGAATTAATCAAAGACTAGACAAGATCATGATCATACACATCAGGTTTCTGTATGTTGCTCAGTCGAGCCATTAATATGTACTGTTCGAGCTTACAAACATCTTGTGACTTTAATACCCGGTGATAAGGATGCTCCCGTTTTTGCTTTACCTGTCAATGACAGGTTATTGCCTTTATCTAGAGACGTTTTGTTCGACTGTTACAGAGAGTTGATTGTTCTTGTTGGTTCAGACCCTACAGTTTGTTTTTGTCATTCGTTGGTGCACGGCGGAGGTACGTTAGCCACAAAGGCTGGATTTCCTGAGATTTGAAAGAAACATGATGAAGACTGGCGATCTGACTGTTTTCAGACTTACATTGAACAAGCCAGTGTTGATATGTATCGAGTTACTAGTACTTCAGCCATGATTAATTTAGTCAGCAGTCGGTTTTAGGGTATGTGTACGTGTGTATGTTTTTGTATTATTTTTGTTTTTGTTTTTTCCCGGTTTGGCGACTTCGTTTAGGTTCAGGTATTTAATATTGACACTTTGCTCATTGTAGCTAGTTTATTGATACCATGTTTGGTATAACTATATTTGATTACATTATCATAATAAAGCACATTTCGCCAAACACTATGATTAGTTGTCAATTCCGTGAACTGTTTCTATTTGTATGTTTACTATAAACAAGATAGATGTCGTATGCTTTTAACCAAAACTAATAGTTGCTGAATGTTTTTAAGTGTTGTTACTTGTGGCTAATGTTTCGATTGCACCGTGACTTTTCTGTGTCCCCGATGAACCTGAAGCTAATGTTTCGATTGCACCGTGACTTTTCTGTGTCCCCGATGAACCTGAAGCTAATGTTTCGATTGCACCGTGACTTTTCTGTGTCTCCGATGAACATGTGCCTAATGTTTCGATAGCACCGTGACTTTTCGTTGTCTATTATGTATTTATTGATTCCACCTAAGTTTTGTGATTTGTCATCTTTCATCGTACATAAGATGCTCAATAATTCTCGGAAACGTATAAAGAGGGTACAATGCAGTTCATAAAGGTCAAAGATAAGAGATAACAAAAAGATAAGTTTGTTGTTTCCGTTACAATTAATCTGACATCAAAGATAGGTTTCCTCCAAGGAAATAATTTGATAGGAAGCTCAGTAGTATAAATATAATATCATTTTAGAATTAAAATCTTCTCCGCAAAAAATGGACTTAGCCAGTCCAGATGATACAGCCCAGAAAGGAATACTCGTGTGTCGCGGTATAACAAGTCTTCTTCTGACTATTGTTGCATGGATTCTGACGTTATCTGCTATAATTGGAATATCGGTTGATTATGGGAACATTTTGAATAGCGACCAAGGTTTGTATGGTTTTTTTTTTAGTATCAGTATGTCATGAAATATCATACTGAATCTTAATTATTTTGTATCTTTAAAATTACAGTTGAACTTCAAGTATGACACCCGCCGCAGGTTTTCCGAATAAAACCAAATTGTTCATTTCAGATGATTTCTTAAAACATTTGTGTTTTATTATCTTTATAAAAAAAAGTAGATATTGGATATTCATTAACGATAGACTACAGCAATTAAAAAAAAAACATGCACAAAAAAATGTTTTAGACAAGACGTCACGATTTATATAAAAACAGATACAGAAGCAATCAAAATCATACAAACAATACCACAAACAAAAGTCGACGAAGGACAACAATATCACAAACAAAAGTCGACGAAAGACAAACAATACCACAGACAAAAGTCGACGAAGGACAAATAATACAACAGACAAAAGTCGACGAAGGACAAACAATATTACAAACAAAAGTCGACGAAGGACAAACAGTACCACAAACAAAAGTCGACAAAGGATAAACAATATTACAAACAAAAGTCGACAAAGGACAAACAATACCACAGACAAAAGTCGACGAAGGACAAACAATACCACAAACAAAAGTCGACAAAGGACAAACAATACCACAGACAAAAGTCGACGAAGGACATATAATACAACAGACAAAGTCGACGAAGGACAAACAATACCACAAACAAAAGTCGACGAAGGATAAACAATATTACAAACAAAAGTCGACAAAGGACAAACAATACCACAGACAAAAGTCGACGAAGGACAAACAATACCACAAACAAAAGTCGACGAAGGACAAACAATATCACAAACAAAAGTCGACGAAAGACAAACAATACCACAGACAAAAGTCGACGAAGGACAAATAATACAACAGACAAAAGTCGACGAAGGACAAACAATACCACAAACAAAAGTCGACGAAGGACAAACAATACCACAAACAAAAGTCGACAAAGGATAAGCAATATTACAAACAAAAGTCGACAAAGGACAAACAATACCACAGACAAAAGTCGACGAAGGACAAACAATACCACAAACAAAAGTCGACGAAGGACAAACAATATCACAAACAATAGTCGACGAAAGACAAACAATACCACAGACAAAAGTCGACGAAGGACAAATAATACAACAGACAAAAGTCGACGAAGGACAAACAATACCACAAACAAAAGTCAACGAAGGACAAACAATACCACAGACAAAAGTCGACAAAGGATAAACAATATTACAAACAAAAGTCGACAAAGGACAAACAATACCGCAGACAAAAGTCGACGAAGGACAAACAATACCACAAACAAAAGTCGACGAAGGACAAACAATATCACAAACAAAAGTCGACAAAAGACAAACAATACCACAGACAAAAGTCGACGAAGGACAAATAATACAATAGACAAAAGTCGACGAAGGACAAACAATACCACAAACAAAAGTCGACAAAGGACAAATAATACAACAGACAAAAGTCTACGAAGGACAAACAATACCACAGACAAAAGTCGACGAAGGACAAATAATACAACAGACAAAAGTCGACGAAGGACAAACAATACCTCCAACAAAAGTCGACGAAGGACAAATAATACAACAGGCAAAAGTCGACGAAGGACAAACAATACCACAGACAAAAGTCGACGAAGGACAAACAATACCACAAAAAAAAGTCGACGAAGGACAAATAATACAATAGACAAAAGTCGACGAAGGACAAACAATACCACAGACAAAAGTCGACGAAGGACAAACAATACCACAGACAAAAGTCGACGAAGGACAAACAATATTACAAACAAAAGTCGACAAAGGACAAACAATACCACAGACAAAAGTCGACGAAGGACAAACAATACCACAAACAAAAGTCGACGAAGGACAAACAATATTACAAACAAAAGTCGACAAAGGACAAACAATACCACAGACAAAAGTCGACGAAGGGCAAACAATACCACAAACAAAAGTCGACGAAGGACAAACAATATCACAAACAAAAGTCGACGAAAGACAAACAATACCACAGACAAAAGTCGACGAAGGACAAATAATACAACAGACAAAAGTCGACGAAGGACAAACAGTACCACAAACAAAAGTCGACAAAGGACAAATAATACAACAGACAAAAGTCGACAAAGGACAAACAATACCACAGACAAAAGTCGACGAAGGACAAATAATACAACAGACAAAAGTCGACGAAGGACAAACAATACCTCCAACAAAAGTCGACGAAGGACAAATAATACAACAGGCAAAAGTCGACGAAGGACAAACAATACCACAGACAAAAGTCGACGAAGGACAAATAATACCACAAACAAAAGTCGACGAAGGACAAACAATATCACAAATAAAAGTCGACGAAGGACAAACAATACCACAATTAAAAGTCAACGAAGGACAAATAATACAATAGACAAAAGTCGACGAAGGACAAACAATACCACAGACAAAAGTCGACGAAGGACAAACAATACCACAGACAAAAGTCGACGAAGGACAAATAATATCACAAACAAAAGTCGACGAAGGACAAACAATACCACATACAAAAGTCGACGAAGGACAAATAATACAACAGACAAAAGTCGACGGAGGACAAACAATACCACAAAAAAAGTCGACGAAGGACAAATAATACAACAGACAAAAGTCGACGAAGGACAAACAATACCACAGACAAAAGTCGACGAAGGACAAACAATACCACAGACAAAAGTCGACGAAGGACAAATAATATCACAAACAAAAGTCGACGAAGGACAAACAATACCAAAAACAAAAGTCGACGAAGGACAAATAATACAACAGACAAAAGTCGACGAAGGACAAACAATACCACAGACAAAAGTCGACGAAGGACAAACAATATCGCAAACAAAAGTCGACGAAGGACAAACAATACCACAGACAAAAGTCGACAAAGGACAAACAATACCACAGACAAAAGTCGACAAAGGACAAACAATACCACAGACAAAAGTCGACAAAGGACAAACAATACCACAAACAAAAGTCGACGAAGGACAAACAATATCACATTACCACAAACAAAAGTCAAAAGACGAAAATAATAATAACAATTAATGATAATAATAATAATATTTAAAAACCAATTTCTCATTTTTTTAATTAGGTCTTTCCACTTTTCTGTGGAAAAACCTATTGGTTTTCTTCTTCTGATTATTATTATTTTTTTCTTCTTCCGCCACTTTTTTCTGACGGTGCTTTTTTGTTTCGCAAGATGTTGCTTAGATTTTTTGTATATGATATCAAACAGTTATTACGATTTTGAAACTGACCCTGTTAAGCCGAACACTTTTTATTGTAAGAGTTATCTCCCCAAACACTGTTTTTCTTGTGTACAAATCTCCTTCGCAACCGTTAAAGATTACGACAAAATTATTTCACCAATTTGCTTGTTATATCTTCAGGATCTTAAAAATAATTTTGACCGAAGCGGTCCGGAGACTACATATGGGAGTTATTTCCCCTTTTGTATTTTTAATAAGAAAAATGTAGTTGTAGCTTGTAAACCATAAGTGATAAAGACCTAGCGTCTTTTGATTTGAGATCCTTGGTCCAAAAAAAAGATAATAGGGTCAAGGTCAAAGGTCAAGGTCATTTCTAAATTTGGAATTTGGCTTATTTTCACCACTTTTCAAACACGATATAAGATATCGACAACATATTTTTACTTAATTGCAAGTTGCGACATGTCGTAACACATACATATTGGTTAAAAGGGTGCGCTTACATCAAATTAGCGTTTTCTTCCCTCTTTATTCAAAAATATGCATATGGTGATATAACTCATGAACCAAATATAATTTAGATCTAGGGTCTTTTGATTTGAGGTCCTTGGTTGATGACCTTGAAATTAAGCCCAAGGTCATAGATAAAATTGCCGTTCTAGATTTTGACCTTTGCTTTTACCTCATTTGTATACATGATAAAGCCATGGGACTTTTTGCATTTAGTTGCAAGCCATATGACCTTGAAAAAGGAACCGGAAGTGACCCTGTGTAAACCGGAAGTAGCTATTTTTTTGTACTTTTTGAATGTAAAAGTATTTAGAACCATATATTTTTGGAATCAGTGTCAATTAAACAGTTAATTAATACCGGAAGTAACCTTTTTCAAACCGGAAGTAATAAATTATTTCCCTTATTTAAAAAATATTGTATAGAAACCATATATTTTTGGAATCAGCGTATTATAAGCTATCATTTGACGCTGTTAATGACATTTTAAACCGAATTTTTACTATTTTCATATCAAAATACTTGTTTTTTTGTGGAAAGACCTTCAATTGTTCTCTGAACAATTGGTTTTTAATTATCATTATCATTATTATAATTTATTGTACATTGATGTAAAAGTATATAGAACCATATATTTTTGGAATCAGTGTCAAGTAACCTACCATATGATACCGGAAGTGACATTTTTTTCAAATCGGAATTAACAAATTATTTCCCTTATTTCAAACAAAAGAGTATATAAACCAAAAATATTTGGAATAAGCATACACTAAGGTATCATCTGACACCGTAAATGACTTTTAAACATTTCTAATATTTTAATATCAATATATATCGTTTGGGGTGGAAAGACCCTTAATTGTTCTATAAACTTTTACATTAAATAAGTACAAAAAATAGCTACTTCCGGTTTCCCCAAGGTCACTTCCGTTGACTTTTTCAAGGTCATATGGCTTGCAACCTAATGCAAAATGGTCCCATTGCTTTATCATGTAAAAATATGAAGTTAAAGCAAAGGTCAAAATCTAGATCGTCAAATTTAACTTTGACCTTGAACTCAATTTCAAGGTCATCAACGATATAACGAACAAATTGGTAAGATGTATAAGCCCATCTGGGAAGAAGAAGTACACACAAGAAAAACAGTGTTCGGCAAGATTACAAGGTAAAGTGTTCGATTAAAAGGTGTCAGTTTCAAAAGCGTATAAACTGTTCGATATCATTTACAAAATGTCTAAGCGACATCTTATGAAACAACCAAGCAGCGAAAGAAAAATATTAGGCGGAAGAAACAAAAATAATAATCAGAACAAAATCAATCTTTTCGACGGAAAAGTGGAAAGACTTAATTATAATAATATGAATACTATTACTACTACTACTACTAATAATAATTTTATGATAGTTGTTGTTGTTACTCATTAGATGTTATAATTTTTCTAGGATGTGGACTACAATCTGCCTTCGGATTATTTGTTTGTGCGGATAGTTGTATGCTTTTCCTGATTATTTGGGATGGAGTAAACCTAGTGATTGTATACTATTCGCAAGGTTGCTGTCATTGTGAATGCTATCACATGAATTTCATCTTTCAGATAGCTTCGTGTGAGTATTTGATAGTGTTAAAAGGTTCCATTGTGCATGATATTATATCGAAGTCTTAATTTTTATTAAAGTAGAACTCCGTTTTATAAGAAGACTAACATGTTTACATGTAACCCCGCCACATTCTGTAAGTACCTGTTTTCTCGTTTGTTGTTTTGAAAATAAATCAGGCCGACGGACTTTTTAAATTTGTTTAGAAATTGCGATATACACCACTATCCGACAACGTGTAACTAGAAGAAAAAAACCCTAATAACGTACAAAAATAGGTTTCAGTCCCTGTGAATTTTCAAAGGCTTGAATTTCTATGGTGTCTTATGCCAAAAATGCATAGCGGAAGCAACAGTAACCGAAAAGGTTGTGAGACAAAGAAACAAAATATTGTTAATATTCCATGCATATATGTTTATATTCTTATGATAAAGAAACATGAATTCGCTATAATGAAGTGTATAAACATGAATCTATTATTGTTTCTTTCAGTTGGAATGCTCCTAGTTGGAACCATCATTTACGGCTCTAAAGACCCTGATAAAATAGGTTGGGCCTTTTGGTTCTGTTTAACGTCGGCTCTCCTCTGTCTTATAGTTGGAATAATGTGGAAAGTGACTCAACAAATGAAAAGATTTATAAAGAAAAAAGCAGGTGGGGGTCTAGGTGGAATGAATGCTAGTGGCCTTGCTGGAATGCTATCATGACAACACTTTAAAACAGAATTAAATAAACTTCTAGATGTCAATCATAACTAATATCTTGTTTTACATATATGCAATACTTATAAAAAACTCCACACGAATAATCCGTCTATGGTTTGCAAACTTTTACATTGATACTGAGATTAGTATACTATAATACACAAGGTCATGTTTTTCTCTGACTGTTAATGACGTCTTTACACTAAATCTATTGGATGTTGGACGTGTATTGATTAATATTTAAGTCTTAGATACATGATTTTTTTATTAGTTGTTATTGGCTTTGAAATAGCTGTCAGTAACTGCGAGTACTCTCAGATCTGTACTTAGTGTCCTTTTTGTTTTTAGGGATGAGGGATGGATAAATACCCTGCTACGTCCGGTCTGTGTTTATGTTTGATGTTTTTCTGCTTTGTATCGATCTGATGAGTTCAGCCTTTTTCAACTGATTTTTATAGTTTGTATTTATGTTGTGCTGTTACACCACTGTCCCAGGTAAGGGGAGGGTTGAGCGCTCAAAAAAATGTTTAACGCCGCCACATTCTTTATGTGCCTGTTCCAAGTCACCAGCCTGTAGTTCAGTAGTTGTCGTTGGTTCATGTCTGTCATACTTGTTTTTCGTAAATTGTTTTGTTAGGCGCGAAACAAATTTTCTGGTCTCTTGTGGAGAGTTGTCTCATTGGCAATTATACCACATCTTCTTATTTTTATATTAACTAGATACATGTATTAAGAACGTGGATTTTATTATGAATATTTAAGGAAGTTACAAATATTTAATAAAAATGATTATAATAATATTATGAATTAAGTAATTTACTTTTTTATATGACAAAAACTCAAAAATTGCTCATTAAAAACATGATTAAATTTAATAGCTTAATTGATCATTTGATTGTCAGTGGGAGGGGGGTTGTTTGCTGATCGAATATTCATTTTACACCGGTTGATAGAACGACTTATCTATTTAGCAAATTATTTTCACTTTTTGTATACACAACTATTTCTTGCAAAGTCTGCATTTTGTAGGACAAAATATTAATGTTCATCATGTCTTAGACAAGATTATATTTTACAGTTAGTTCCAGTTCAAACTATTCATTTTCAAAATCACCTCATGGGTGTCTGGGGAATAGAAATATGATCACTTAGGTCTTTCTCCGATCGGCCGTAAAACCCTTGCCAAAGTAGGGCGTCCATTTGGCTGTGAGGGATGTACAGGTACTCAGCCTCGTCCGGTCAGAATGCGGACATTAAATCCGATGCCTCGTGTAGAGAGAGTGTCATGCTCTCTGCACGTTTAGAATCTTTGCAATAACTCTTTGAAGGATCCGTAGGTGGCCTGTTGCAAGGCAAAATTTCTGTCCCTATCCATATACTATCATTTTCCAATGGCAGTCCAAATTGCCCCGACTTTCATCTCGGATGACCTACTACATGATCTGCCTATTGTATTTATTGTGAATTTGTTTTCGCCCTGAATATGCATGAAATATTTGCCACTTGACATTAAGCAATCGACAATAAATAAATCAATCATTTTCAAAATCCTTTTTTCATCTATTGTTACTATGATTTAGCCTGTTTTAATACATAGAACGATTTTCTTAAGGTAGCGACCATTCATCTTCGTAGGAAAAACCATTTTTTTTATTACATTAATGAAGAAAAAAGAACCAACCAACTTTTTTTCAATAACATACAGGAACATTTTCTTAACTCAATGTTGAAACCACCAGCCCTTCATTTTCAATGGAATCAAACGATATTTTTATTACTTCCATTCTGAAACAAATATATTTTTTCTTTAAAAAAATTTAGTGTAAACAATGCATCTTCCCCCACGCCTCAAAAACAAATATTATTGTGTCGTCCGAGGTGACTTAAGATGGAAGTTGATTCAAATCCCTGATGGTCTTTGGTGTCAGCCTTTATTCTTTCTTGACAAAAGCGGCCTATACCTCTGGTCCGGCTGGTGTTGGGGATTAGATATTGTTGTCTGTCTATATCAATTAGCTCGTCCGTCCGGATATAGATACATAGTTTGTCCGGCTAGCTTCTCCTACAGTTTTTGAGCTACATCTTTGATATTTTGTTGGGTGTTTCTTATCTACGCATACTAGAGATGTGCATGTCCATAGGATGTTGATTTTTCAAATATTCTAAAAATGCTAGGTATTTGGACTTAGTCATTTGTGGTACTAGCTGCATAGATCATGGATTGTCCGGCTATCTCCACCAACAGTTTTTGAGCTACAGCTCTAATATTTTGTAGGTTGTTTGTACACATAATGGAAGTCCATATCTAGTTTTTTATTTATAAAGAAATGAAACCCAGTCCCTCACATGAGCGCTTCTGTCAGAGATGTGATCGTCATTTGCTTTCTTTTTTCTCGAATAAATCAAAAAAAAAAAACACAACCCAGAATTAAATACTTATTCAGATAATTTAAATAAAAATATGTATGTAGGGGACATTATATGAGGTCCAAAGTCATAAAGTTGAAATGTGCATAATGAAGATGTCGGTTTCAAAGTAGATGGCTCATAAAATATTCATCAAATTTCAATAATTATTATTCATGTATAATATGATATGATAATAATTTATTGTTACTTGTTTCTATTTATTATTCATATTTACAGATAATGTCAACTTTTTTTTGAAAAAAAAAAACAATTTGCAAATTTTAAAACATAAAGTACATTTGTCTCGCAGTTTAATAGTTGAATAAAAATGCAATACTATTCTTGAAATTATCTCAAATCTAAATTGTGAATTATTATCAAATGTTAAATGTAGCAAACTGTTTGAATATCTTTTCCTTGTTTGATTTATATTTAGTTTAAGATTCTGACACTCAAATATAAGTACTTAATATAATATTGTATTATAATAATATAATTGTTAAGCAAGATTTTATCAATTGGTCAACTGTCCATTAAATACTGAAAGACCCGGATGTAACAGATTTGAGCAATTAAGGTGTAAAACCACCAAACAATAGTACGTCACATCCGGTTTCATACGAAAAAGGGTCGATATAAATATTCCCTTGAATTTGACAGTTGTATGAAGTTAACTCTGCATTTCATTGCAGAAAAAATTTGTATGAGTCATAAACATATAGCTTGGGTGCTTCAAAGTACCATTCTGGTATTTGGTGTTTCTATAAAATATTTTGGAAACTTGAGGTTACATGGCTACTAAAGCTTGTACACAGGAAAAAAAAGGGGTGAGAATTTGATTGGTTAACTTCCAGTGATGGTTATTATTTTATATGCAATTAAATGTTATGTAAAATTTTGTCTGTAGTACTGGACAGGATAAGACTTTACTCATGCCAAGTATTTCTTTATTTGAAACAAACAATAATTCTGCACAATGTTTTGAAAAGTGCCAATTAAACAAAGACTAATAGGGGAAATTCAATGGTGGTATTAATCCTCAAACGAGAATCTTCTTGTTAAGAGTCGAATTTTGATTGTGATTCTATGATTCATAGAAGGGGCTAGAGCTAATTTCCTAATGCTTGTAGATTAAGACTTTGGTTGGCTTGCTTGCTTTGTTTGTATCAACGTTTGCTCAAGCATTGTAATTAAGATTGACATTTGCAAACAATATAAAATTGGCGGCGTTAACCTGTATACATTATACTTATATTTGATTGGATATTATCCTGTAGGTTTGGAACACCCAATTGTACATGTAAACATTACATGATAATGTTAGGAAGGATTAACTCCACCCAATATATAGTGTTTGCAGAGCGCATGCATGACTTATCAACTTTTAAAGAAGGTTTTTGTCATTTCAAGTAGAGCCAAAACTGGTTCAATTTAGTAATGGCTTCTATAAATACAATGTACCAGCATTACATACTGAATTAAACAATACCCTTTAGTAAACTATCCCTATTCATGAAGGGCGGTTCGGTGGCATTTAATCCCTTCAGTAATTCTATGACTATATGACTCATAGAATCACAATCAAACTTCGACTCTTACCAAGGAGAGTCTCGTTTAATTGTTTAATTCTAATACGTCATATCACTTCCGGAACTAAATGAGACTTTAAAGCCAATGACAAAAACCTTAATGTCAGCTTAAGTGTCTACTTTCAGTACTTCTTCAACTTCAGATTACTACAAAACTGCTGACACAAATACATCCTCTGTAACCACCTTCTTGTCATAACACTTAGAGAATGTTCTTTCGTTTGTCCATCCTACTTTGTCAAGGATTTCCTGAATAGGGACTGCCTTCAATTTTGCTCGGTATGTCGTTGCTGAACACACACTCTGAGCACCATAAATCTTAGTGTCTATGCCAGATCTAAGCAAAATAGTTTTTGTATCTTTAGTAACATATTGGTGTGGGTTTACATAACTAATTATTAACTTTGAATTATTCTGACGCAAATGTTTTGTCATACAAATATTCTTTTAACACAGTAAAAACACAAAGCCTCCTGTCTGGAGAATAAGCATTCAAGTGTTCCTGTGGGTTCCTATACCCAGGACTACTTTGTTTCAATAGGCCCTCTATTTCAACAACGCATTCAAGTGTTCCTGTGGGTTCCTATACCCAGGACTACTTGTTTCAATAGGCCCTCTATTTCAACAACGCATTCAAGTGTTCCTGTGGGTTCCTATACCCAGGACTACTTTGTTTCAATAGGCCCTCTATTTCAACAACGCATTCAAGTGTTCCTGTGGGTTCCTATACCCAGGACTACTTTGTTTCAATAGTCCCTCTATTTCAACGACGCATTCAAGTGTTCCTGTGGGTTCCTATACCCAGGACTACTTTGTTTCAATAGTCCCTCTATTTCAGAAACGCATTCAAGTGTTCCTGTGGGTTCCTATACCCAGGACTACTTTGTTTCAATAGGCCCTCTATTTCAACAACAAACTCGGAA